CTCTCTCTCTCTCTCTCTCTCTCTCTCTCTCTCTCTCTCTCTCTCTCTCTCTGTGTACCACAACCAGACTTAAAAAAAACCCAAAAACCAAGCATCCTCCTCTTAGTGAACTGCCCTATGGGAGCCAAGTGCTGTGCTGATGGTCGTGGGTTGTAGACCTGGGAGCTCTGCTGGGGCCTCTTTGTGGGCTTTGAGGCTCTGGGAAGGAAGGAGGTGTCCAGGGAGAGGCCGCCATGGCTGAGCCACCCTGAGGGCAYGGACCCTCCACCCGCAGCCGTGGCTTGGGCCGGGAGAGTGATGGACCGTTTAAAGTGCTGTGACTGGAAGACACATCCTTCAACACACCGTCCCTAGCCACGAGTTTTCCTGAATATCCTGCCTTCTCTCAGAAAGTTGTAGAACTTGGTGCTGTTCCTGAAAGTGCCACGTGTGACTTGTGTGACAAAAGCCGTGTGTCCCCACCGCGAAAAACAGAAACACCCTGTCCCCCGCAGGAGAGCCACGGTGGGTGCCTTGGTACACTCTATTCCACGAGGGCAGCCACTGTGTTTTCAGGGAGTGTGCCCTGCTTGTCATCTTCATGACTTGCCRCCCTTGGTGGGGTCCCAGGCCAGCAGGCGGGCAGCGTGGTGAGAAATGCAGACTGCATCTGGCCCAGACTGCCCGGGGGGCAGGGCCCTGACGTCAGAGTCCCCCAAAGCTGTCCTGTGGGCAGACGGCTGGAGTCGGTCCACTGAGTCCTGGGTGATGGCATTTTAAATAAAACCCAGGCTGCTCCCTGAGCCCTAGTCCTGGGGGCAGGCGCCGCTCCTCTCCCTGAAGGTCCCAGGTGAACCGCAGGAGGACCCTGCAGCACACGCTCGGGGAAGTGCTGGTCACGGTGACTTGAAAGCAGCCGCTGTTGCCATTGTAACAGGAAACACCACAGGAACCACTGCACACCCACAGCACACTCTACACAGAGACCGCACACACAGCACACACAGCCGTATCCATAGCATCCAACCTACACACACGACATCACACACTACACACCAGACACCACACACACACAGCAAACGCACACCACAAATACACATGCCACACCCTACCATAGGACACAGCGCACACACAGATCCCCAGGGATGCAAGATGGAAAACAGGGCTTGTCAGTAGGGAGGTGGGTGCTCTGGGGCTGGCTGTGCACACACAGCATCCCACAGCACTGGGTGGCACTGGGTGGCACTGGCTGGCCCTGTCCACATCTGCACCTCCCAACAGGGTGTCTGATGCTATTTGGGCTGAAAGGCTTCTGTGCAGAGTCCCCTCCACTTGTGAACTCTTCAGCGCCTCTGGCCCTGGGGTCACTCTGGGATTGCTCTTTTCTCTCCTGCATTTTTGGTCGAGAATCAACTTGTTTGGTGGTGGGCATTTTTCTCCCGCTCCTTTGCCACATGCCTGCTGTGCTCTGTGTGTGCCCACCAAGTCCAAGTGTCAGAGCGTCCCCCTCGCAGGTGAGTGGATCTGGAGGTGGGGCCTTGGGGGCCATCAGGCATGGGGGGTGCCACCCCCTGAATGACACCAGTACCTTTGGAAGAGGCCCAGACAGCTCGCTGGCCCCTTCCATCACGTGAGGACACAGGGAGAAAGCACCAGATACAATCCAGAAAGAAGGCCCTCGCCAGACGCCAAATATGCTGGGACGTTGATTCTAGACCTCCACTTTCCAGAACTGGGAGCAGAAAATGTCTACGGTTATGAACTGCGAGTCTGTGGTATTTTATTCTGGCAGCTGAAGAGACTAAGGCAGAACCTATAGATCATCTAACCTGAACCCTCCCCTGGTGATCCGAGCCTCCTCTGATTGATGTCTGCTCTGGAGATACTCAGATGTACCAGGTAGCATATCCACTCCATCTTCCTGAGGAAACCTCTCCGGAGACTTCCAGCCTCCTCACGGAGCCCAGTGGTCAACCTGACATTGCCCTTTGGGATCACCCCGAGGGTGCTCTKCGGCTCTCTCTGGAGTTGAGCTTCTCTTGTGTTTCTCTTTCTTGGCTTACCTCCTTGTTCTGTTGGAATACATCCTCTAATACCGTCTTGAGAAGAGGTGTATGGGAGGTAGACTTTTAGGCCTTCTTCATTCAACCCATACTGAATGGATAATTGGCTGAGTGTAGAATTCCAGGTTGGAAGCCGTTTTTCTTCAGTAATTTTAAGGTCCTGCTCCATAGTTCTCTTGTCTCTTTGAGATGGCTGACAGGTCTGGCTGCAGGGTGACCTTTTGTCTTTCTGGAATTCCTACTGTTTGGATGTTGTGGACATCTTGGGCCAGCCCTCCAACTTCCTTACATGGCTCTGTTCTACCGGCCATCTCTCTTTTTATGTTGGTTCTCCTTTTTTTTTTTTTTGAATCTTTCCTCAGAATTATCTTCCATCCCTTTTATCAGCTGTCACAATTTTAATCTGAAGGGTTCCTGGGTTTCTGAATCAGTTTCTCTCCCCGTCTCTCTCTCCCTCCCTCCTTTCCTCTCTGCTTCAAAAACATTCTGCTCTAGTTCCATAAAAGCAACATTTTCTCATACCTCTTGAAGGACATTAACAGGATTCCTAAAATGTTTTCTTTCCACATTATTATATTATTATGATTTATATTATTCCCAAGTTACTTCTCCCTCCTGTTTATTTTGGGAAGGACTAAGTAGGATGTCAGCAGGGTTTGGTGACTCAGAGCTCCACTACAGAATGATCTTGCTCGGGCCATTTGGTTGGGGAGAATTCTCTCTTGGGCTGATAATATTTATCAGGAAACAACCTCTCATCTCCCTTCAGAATGGCTCTCTGTTGGCATTCTGGGAGCCAAAGGGAGCACATATATTTTCACGAAAATGAAAGTTCATTTTGGCAATCCTACCTTCAGCTACGTCTCTCCCAAGACAGCCCCCATTCGCCCCCTCAGGAATGGTGAAGGTCAGTTCACTCAGGGCACAAGGGAGGGAATCTAGAGATCTGACCACTTCATGAACGGATTGCCCTCATCCTGATGTGAGCCTGTGCTCAAGGGGGTGTCTGTAGACACAGATCCCGTGGTATAAGCCAGAAGGTTTTTGCTGTTCCCAGTGTCAGCTCAGGTCAAGTTTGTGAGTCTACAGAGCCTTTGTATGAGTCTTTGTTCTTGTTTCTTCTTTTGTTTTTCCATAACCTAAAAAAAAAAAAAATCCCTTTGAAGTTATT